GGAAGGGACAAAGGTGTCGGTCAGATCAAATTCCTATCACTGTGTGGTTGGTCCTAGGAGAAGAGGAGTTAAGTGGTTGACCAACATCTTTAATATTATTTTAGAGACTGTCAAGATGCCAGAGGAGTGGAGAGAGTCTATGGTGATACCAATCTATAAGAATAAAGGAGATCCCCAACGTTGTGACAACTATAGAGGTATTAAAATACTCAGCCATACCATGAAGCTATGGGAAAGGGTGATAGAGGCTAGGTTGATACAGGTTACTAGAGTTTCAGAAAACCAATTTGGCTTTATGCCAGGCAGGTCTACTACGGAGGCGATTCATCTACTTCGACGGCTTATGGAGAAATATAGGAAAAATATAGAGATCTTCACATGGCGTTCATTGACCTCGAGAAGGCGTATGATAGTGTTCCCTGCGATACGATGAAGACCTTGAAAACTAGACGGATCCCAACTGCTTATATTCGGGCGATTTGTGATATGTACTGTAGATCTACTGCATACGTCAAGACTACAGTTGGCTAATCGGACTCCACCAGGGGTCGACTCTTAGCCCTTACATCTTCGCCTTGATTATGGACGACATCTCTTGTGCGACACCAGAGGGTGTACCATGGTGTATGCTTTTCGCTGACGACATTGTCCTAGTTGCTGAAACAAAAATTGAGTTGAATAGTAGACTGGCTACCTAGAAGACTGCTTTGGAAGAAAAAGGTCTAAGGATCAATATTGAAAAGATAGAGTATTTATGTTCAAACTTCAGTGGGAACCAAAACGATCAAGATGTAAAGTATGCATAGAAGAATATGTTCTCCCCTCAAAGGATTGTTTCAAGTACCTAGGGTCTATGATACATAAAGATGGGGGTATAGATGATGACGTTACACACCATATAAAGGCGGGATGGCTAAAGTGGAGGGCTGCTACTGGAGTTTTTGTGACAAGAAGGTGCCTCTAAAAGTTAAGGAAAATTTTTATAGAATGACAATAAGACCAGCGCTGTATGGATTAGAATGTTGGGAAATCAAGAAGGACCATGTAAGGAGGATGAGGCCGCAGAAATGAGAATGCTTCGATGGGTATGTGGTAGGACTCTATGGGACATGACACCAAACTCTGCTATTAGGATGTCCTTGGGGGTGGTGCCTGTATCCGAAAAATTGAGGGAAGGAATACTACGGTGGTTTGGGCATGTCCTTAGGCGACAACCGTCGAATACGGTCAGGAGGGTAGAGTCGATTACAGTAGATGGTGCCAGAAGGAGAGGATGACCAAGGCGAAAGTGGAAAGACTGCTTGAGATCTGATTTGATGATTTAGCCCTTACCGAGGACATGACCTCTGATAGGAAAGTATAGAGACTTAAGACCACGGTAGCCGAGTAGTGCGGGTTACATCCATAGGGTGTATCATCTCTGTCTTCTTTTAATGCCTTTGTAGTAATTTCCATGACTTCTACTTTTTATACGTTTCTGTCATTGGAATTTATGAAGGCTTAGAACTAGGGTAGCGAAGTAGGGTTGCCTTAGTTTAGGTTTTAACCCATTTGGCTTTATTCCTTCTCGTAGCTGGCTATCATTGAATTATGTGTATCCTTCTCTTCATGTTTCCTCTTTTAAATTTAGCCGAGTCTTATTTCTGTCTACATGCAGAGATTTTTATGCAGGGATTTATTTGCAGGGATTACTTCCCATTACAGACACATAAGATGACTGCATATGAAGACTGTTCAACTATGTATTTATCTTATTTATACATGCATTGCATTTTATCTATATTTTTAATTTTCTGACTGCAAGAGGTCTTCCACAGAAGCTGCTCTCAACCTGGCGTTGGGGGCAGTCTACTACCCTACCTCCCCTTTACCCCATTGCATATGAGAATAGGGTTTTGTTGTTGTTGTATTGTCATAAGTGTGTCATAGACAACTCTTGCTTCTTTTATTGGTAAGGAGGCAAAAGCCAGATTTCATTAAGTAGTGTTGGATCTCAAATGGGGTGGCCCATGGAGATCACAATGAAGGGTTCCTTAGACAGAAAGAAGAGTTACATGAAAAAGAAAAATTGCATCGTTCAATTAGTGTCAAGTTTAGTCAGAGTGTCAATAGCCAAATTTATTTCACGTTTGATCAATTTGAATTCTAGTAGCCAGTTACGCATGAAGAGTTCACCAATCATGCGAAGAAGAATCAAGGGAGAATGTGATAGATTCAGAGAAGTGATTAAATTGTAAACCTCAGTACTGTCAATTTGATATTGGACTTTGTCGTATTCAAATCTCCAGGCAAGATTCAGACCCTCGAGTATGCCCCCAGAGTTCAGCTTGGAGAACGAAGAATGTTCAATATGCTTATTAAACCCCAGAAGCCAGACAACTTCATGGTCGCGTAGGACACCACCAATGGTACTTCGAGAAAGGTGAGGGTTAACATCCCCATCAGTGTTAAGAGTGATTCTATCACTATCAGTAGGGGTCCATTGAATGAATTCAGGGTCTCTTGGAGGTGTAGTTGACAAGAAATGAGAATCAGTGTAACATTGAGCCCGAAAGACACAAGAATGGAAAAACTTAGCGTTTGAGAGGCCATATTCATTGAATATGTAGAATTATGATGCTTCCATATCAACTATAAAAGGGATGAAAAGAGGATTTTCCAAGGGATATTTGTACCTGAGATAAGTTGAGAAGAAGAAATGTTATCCATGATCCACTGAGTCAAAGGAAGGTTGAAGAAGACAAGCATTTGTTGGTGATGAGCACGGGTCTCCCAAAGAAAACGAGACATAGGAAAGTCTTGGAGAATGTGTAAAATAAGTTCATCTCTTATAACCACAAATCTCACAATTGGGATCACTAGTAAGATTACGCTTCTACCTATTCACGTTGGTGAGAAGCTTGTCTTGAATGGAAAAGCCAGATGAAATACTTTATGCGTTCAGGAACTTGGATTTTCCAAACTGTTGTCCAAGTAAATCATCTCAGCTGGCAAGGCTAAAGAGTTGATTATAGGCAAATTTGACTGAGAAAATTCCATTTTTCCCACAAATACCAAATACAACGATCATTGCCCAAGGCCATCATCGCATGAGCTACACTTCTGATTACGTTGGGATGCTTCTGGGGCAATAAGAGAATTGTTGAGATTCCAATCCCAAGAACCATCAGGCAAAGATATGTGTCAGACCAAGAGATCATCATTGACAGCAACATTATTATATTTGTAATTATATGGAGGGGGTAAATCCGGCATCCATTTATCATGCCAAAAACGAATCGAGGTTCCATCGACAGTAGACCAAAAAAGAAAACCTGAGAACGTGGTCCATATTTTGACGAGATCACGTCAAATGTAAGAGCCATTCGACCAAGTGATTGAAGAGGAGCAAACCTCAGCTACCTTGTATTTATGGCGGAGGAGTTTGATCCAGTAAGCTTCAATGTCAGTAACAAGGGTGAAGTAAAGTTTCATTAAGAAAGCTATGTTGTGGTTTTACGAATCCTCAAGCCACCATTCGCTCTAGGTTGGGAAAGAACGTCCTAATTTACCATAGAGATACCGTGTGTTTGCGTAGACTTTCCCCAAATGAAATGCTTAATAATTCTTTCGATGTCGTTGATGATCAGGGAAGAGAGGTGGCAACTTTGGATAAAATAAGTTGGAATTATCGAAATGACCGAATTAGCAAGGTAAACTCGACCAATAAAGGATAAAGTTTGAATTGCCCAGCCTTCAAGTTTCTTCCGAATTTTGTCCAAAATAGAGATCAAAAGAAGCTCTCTGATGCATGACCGATATTCCAAGGTAAGTGCCAAAGTCATACACTAGTTGAGAACCAAGTTGGGAACAAACCTCATTAGCAACATCTTTATTAGTGTTGGAAGAGAGAAATATTTGCAATTTAATCTTGTTGATGCGGTGACCCGAGAAGCTTCTAAAGTCGACCAAAATAGAAACAATGATGAGAGATTGATCGCGGGTGACTTTGGCGTAGAAGATAAGGTCGTCGATTAAAAAAAGATGAGAGATAAGAAGGCATCCATGCATGAGTTTGAACGGAGTTCAAAGTTTCTAACCAATAACATGAGTGATACAGTGACTAAGACACTCCATGGTAATAACAAATAAATAGGGAGAAAAGGAGTCACCATGACGAACTCCTCTCGAAGGCATGAGATCAAGCCAAGGGAACCATTTAACTGAACTCACATAGCAGACATACATAAACAGTGAGAGACAAGACGAATGAAAAGACGAGGAACCCTGCATCATGAAGAGAATCCACTATGAAACCTCACCGTAAACGATCGAAGGCCTTCTCAAGGTCTACTTTGACTGTCATCTAGCCAATTTTCTTTTTTATTTTATTTCATCGAATGGACGACTTTTAATTAATGATCGTATTCTCTGAGATACTACAATTCACAATGAAATTAGAGAACTTTAGCTTATCTTTATGCTAATATAATGTCTATAAATATCTTTATTTTTCTCATATTTTTTTGCATTTTGTTAATTTTTCTTCTAATTTCAATATAGATATCGAGAATTCTTTTTTATATCTTCAATAAGTGAATGTACCGTATGTCTTTTTTATTTAATGATACAATTAACTTTCATATGTGTTTATAGATATTGATAATTTATTTAATTTATATAATTTTTAATAAAAATATCACGTCATCCAAATAAAATTAAAAAATATTTTAATTTTCTTTATCAAATAATAAAAAATAATTTAATCAACATTTTAAAAATTATTGCTCAAAGAAAAATAATTTAATCAACATCCGGAAGCCATCCTTTTTTTATTGTTCAAAAAAATATTTTTTAAAAAACTATTTTCAGTAAAATAAATATACTCAAACAATCATCTGCCTAGTAAATATCAAAACATCCATTACGGATTCACAAAACCCAGCATAATTTGGGCTGTAAATCACCGATATAAATCCACATCTTCGAAGTCCACAAATGGTCATTCGGTAAACCCTAATCCAAGCAGCTTCGGCACAAGTTCATTTTGGTTTTTTTCCATCCTCGAAGTTCACAGATCGTACTCCCAACCGTAATGCCAAGCCAACCATGGTAATCAACCTGCTTCCTCTCGCTTCTTCTTTAACAATCAATTTCTTTTGTTCTTTTCGTTTCCCCATTATTCTTCAAAAAGTTTGATTGTCTCTGTAGAAATTTTAGTTTTACAGGATGGCTCTCGCCTCTCGGATGTTTTGAATGGTTTTTTTTCCTTTCCAAATGACAGCCTTCACATAAGACTTTCATGATCAAGAAGAAGCTGGCCAAGAAGATGAGGCAGAACAGGCCTATCCCTTACTGGATCCGCATGCGCACCGACAGCACCATCAGGTCTGTACATTTCTGCAATTTTTTCTTATATATGATCACTAATTTTCGTTCAATTTGGAAGCATTTTCAGTGTATTGGTTGATGGGGTTTTTTCGACTTTTACTTTTTGAAGGTACAATGCGAAGCGTCGGCACTGGCGCCGCACCAAGCTAGGGTTCTAAGCTCTATGAGTTTATTTATATTCAAGCTATGTTTCTGCTTTTTGCCAAGTTTATTTCTAGACATTTTAATTTTTCCGTGGATATTGGAAACTATTGGTTGATGGCAATACTTGGTAATTGTTTCAATTTTGTTTGTCTTATGTTTGAGATTTGAATCTGGATGATCTTGTTTAATTTTTGTGAAAGCTGCTGTACTATTATGATCTTGCGTTCTCTGATTTTATGTGAAAAGCTGGACTCTCAATACAGCTGAATTGAGTATTTAGGGTTTTTGTGTTGAGATAATTATTCAATTCAAACTGCAAAACAAAAAATCCAGTAATTTTAATTAGGTTTTAATTTCAGTTTACATAGTTAAATTCATTTAGAAAAACAGAATTTAAGCCAAAAAAATCTAAAAGAGAGAGAGAAACACAGTAAGCTGTTCAAGAAATGGCATACCTTTTGTTCAGACTGCAAGTGGAATACTAAGGTTGCTTTCGATCATTCCACCGGTGACACGATGTGTTCAGTGTGCTGGCTGATGTTATAATCTCATTCGATCGACGAAACATCAGAGTGAACCCTCGCCACCAAGTTCGACGATAATGATTCCGTCCATGGTGTAGGGATGGTCAAAATATCCGAACCCGACCTATTCTTATAGGAGTGGATTTTCTTTTAAAATATTGGGGTCTGGGTCAAGTTCAAAGTGAAAATCATCTACATGATCTTATAATATATTATTATAAAATAAATTATTTTAAAATATTAATATATTTGGATTGGTCGGGCAGGGTCAAGCCTTTAATCTAGAAATCCAAACAGATTTGGGATGTGAAAAAAAACCTAAAATTCATCGAGGTTGGACGAAGTTGGATATAAGATTTATATTTTTGGGGGCGAGGTCAGAGTAGGTCTCTAATATTTTCAACATTATCATATTAGGTGTTTGGTGTCATGGCCGTTAAAAATTTTAGGGTAAATTATGTGTTTAGTAATTAAATTATAAGTTTTGGTTTGTTTTAATACTAATTTTTTTAATTTTTCAAAATCATACCCAAAGTTTAGTTTTTGTTTCATTTTAGTACCCCGTTCAAAATTTAACATTAAGTTTTGCCAAAAATGAAAGTTTAGGTACTAAAACAGCAAAAATGACAGTTTAAGTACTAAATGCGTTAAGTTTTTTAACGATTGGGTACTAAAATGAAACAAATACTAAACGTTAGGTATGAGTTTGAGAATTAAAAGTATAGGTACTAAATAGACCAAAATTGATAGTTTTGGTACTAAATACATAGTTTATCCAAAAAAATATTATCTAATTGCTTTCTATCTCATGTATGTTAAAAAGTGTTCTGATGAACATTTTCTAAAGTTTTAATGATTTTTCATAAATGTTTGTTCATCATAATAAATTTTGTCAAAATTGGTTTTAATACTTTGCTTTTACAAATTTTAATTTTGACCTTAATTTAAATGTTTATGCATGTGATTTTTCTTTGCAAATGATATCTCTCTAACAATTGATATTAATTTTTCAAATGCATAACATTTTTTGGATAACTTTATGCCTATGCACTTAAATACAACAATTGGTATTGCATAAAGTATATTAGACTTAGATATATTGAATTTCATGTGCTACTAACATGTTTGTTCATCTTTGTTGAAATTCAATGTCTTTTAAATGTCAAGCTTTTAAAGTCATTTTTTTGTTTGGAATGCACTTGCTGAGGGAATCTTCTGATTTTTCAAATTGTTTTAAAATTAAAATTATCTACTTACTCTTCATTTTTATTTTTAACCTTAAAGTTTGAATTATTTTTGATATAACAAAAAGGGGGAGAAGTATTGGTTTGAAAAATTCAATTTCAACAATGAAATAGGGGGAACTTAAATATTTTCCAAATTATTTATCTATTCAACCCTTGTTTTAATAAGGGGGAGTTTTTGCCAAAAATTATTTTTCAAAGGTTTTGTTATATAAAAAAGGGAGATTGTAGAACTAATATTTTGATATAACAAATAAGGGCAAAATGTTTGGACTAAATTGAATTTATTCAAAGTCTTCAAAAAAATTCAAAGTCCAAATAAAAGTTAAAAGTATGTTTTTAGATATTTTTCAAACTTACTCAAACCTTTTCAAAACATATTCAATCGTTTTTTAGCTTTAAAGTCTTGTTTACAAGCTTCTCTGCCTCATAGATCAATCCCTTTGACCAAAGGATTGATCCCCTTGAAAAAGGATCTATCCCTTGGACAATAGTGAGTTTGGGATTGATCCCTCGAGGAAAAGATCGATCCCCTTAGCCTTGAAAGTTACATTAAAGGTTATTTTGATCCCCAACGGCTAAAAATCCCCAATGGCTAGAAATAACTAGTAACTCATTCCAACATATAAAATCAAGTTCAAGACACTTAAAGAAGGTTACCAACACATTATCCAAGCAATCAAACACAAGAGAAAAGCTTTACAATCCTTATTTTCTTTCTCTTGTAAATATTTATGTTTTGAGCTCAATTGTATATCCTTAGGTTTTTTTTGTGAGCTAAATCTTTGTAAACACTTACCTAGAGAGGTCTTCTTGTTTACACATTTCTTATCTTTGTTAAGGGGTTTTGGTTCTAGTTTAGCCAAGTGAAAAACTAGGGAGTTGTAAAGGTTACTCTTGATCCTTCAAAAAGAAAGAATAAGTTAGTGGATTTGTTGGAAAATCCTAAGCGAGGAGCTTAGGTAGTGGATGTATACTTCAGAGGAAGTTGAACCACTATAAATCATTGTGCAAATTGTCTATCATTTCTCTCCGTACTCCCTAAATTTTCAAAAATCCAATTCACCCCCTCTTGGCATATTTCGGTTGATGGATCGAGCTTCATAAATCCTAACAATTAGTTTCAGATCTTAACTCATTTGAAGTCTAAAACCTTGAGACAATCCTTGAAGAAGCTCTATCCATTTTAGACACAACCGAGAAGATTACTTCCACCTCCGGCGCTTACTACATCAAAGATTCTCAATCGGTTAATAAGACACCCTATTTCAATGGAGCAAATTATGCTTATTGTAAGAATATGATGATGCTTTTCATTCAAGCTATCGATCTAGATGCTTTGAACTCTATCTTGATAGGTCACTCTACTCCAACTTGAGCTATGGCTAAATGGAGTGAAAGAGAGAAGAAAGAGATCCAACTCAATGCTAAAGCCATGCATATTTTGTTTTTTGCATTAGGCCGGATTAATATGGAAGAGTCTCCTCTTGTTCAAATGCTAATGAGATTTAGGACAAGCTCCAAGTCACTCATGAAGGAACCAATGAAGTGAGGGAAACGAAAATCAGTCTTCTCAATCATAGCTATAATAATTTCAAGATGAAACTGGATGAAGACATCAAAGCTATGACAGGTAGATTTTTCGTGATTGTTAACGATCTCAAGGGATATGGAGAGATCATCCCTAATGAGAAGCTTATTTGGAAGATGATATATTATCTTCCAAAATATTGGTAATCGAAGAGACGACGATCATTGAAGTGAAGAACTTAAAAACTCTATCGCTTGATGAACTTAATATCTCCATTCTCACTCATGAGATGATGAAAAAGGAGGAAGAACAAAATGAAGAGAAGAAACAAGAAAAAAAGAAAAATATGTTGTATTGAAATCCTCTACTCAAGATGAAAGCACCTCAAGTGAAGAAGAGGATGAAGAATAAGAAATATACAAGTTCTTAAAAAATTCAAATGATTCATGAACACCAACAAGACAAGAAGCATGAATCGAGCAAGAAGTGAGGTCCAACAGCGTGCTTTGAGTGCTAGAGGATGGACATGTCAAGTAAGAATGTCCTCTCCTAAAGAAGAAGGGATCAAGCAAAAAGAAGGCATTTTGGTGGCTTGGAATGATGAATAAAACTCCGATGATGATGAAGTAGTCAATCTATGCCTCATGGCCATCGAAGAAGATTCAATGGTAACTTCTAACTCTTTTTATTCAAATTCTTATTCATTTAAAGAGTTACAAGATGCCTATGATAAGTTGTATTTGGAATATGAGACCATGAATTCAAATATAGGAAATTAATTTCAAAATTTAAAGTTGAAAATGATTTGATTTTGATTGCAAAAGTTGATTTTGAAAAACAAAATGAAACTTTGAAAAATGATTTAAAGCTTTCAAAAATTAAAATTAATGATTTAGAAAAATAAAATTTTGATTTGAAAGTTAAGCTTGAAACCTTAACAAAAGAAAAATAATCAATTTCTAAAAACAACTCATTATGTTTAAAAATGACAAAATGCTCACATTTATTTTCATGGTCAATTGGAACATACTTGTCCTTTAAATAAAGGAAAACATTTTAAAATTAAACAAGTATGGGTTCCAAAGGGAACATGGGACATTGAAACTAACGTTCAAGGATCCAAAGCAATTTGGATACCAAAATCCAATTAAATGTCTCTTGTAGGTGTGAGGGAACACTGGTGATGAAAGTGAAGATAATCAAATTCTCTAGCCACACTTGATATGGAATGAGGAACCTTTAAGCTTATTTTGATTATCTTGCATAAATGGTTCCTCATTTAGTTTAAGCATGCATGATTTTAATTTTAAATAATTTTATGTTTTCTATCTCATGTATGTTAAAACGTGTTGTGATAAACATTTTCTAAAGTTTTAATGATTTTTCATAAATGTTTGTTCATCATAATGAATTTTTGTCAAAATTGGTTTTAATTCTTTATTTTTACAAATTTAAATTTTTGACATTAATTTAAATGTTTATGCATGTGATTTTTCTTTGCAAATGACATCTCTCTAACAATTGATATCAATTTTTCAAATGCATAACATTTTTTTGATAGCTTTATGCACATGCACTTAAATACAACAATTGATATTGCATAAATTATATTAGACTTGGATATATTGAATTTCATGTACTAACATGTTTGTTCATCTTTGTTTAAATTCAAAGTCTTTTAAGTGTCAAGCTTTTAAAGTCAAATTTTGTTTGGAATGCATTTGTTGAGGGAGAGCTTTTGATTTTCAAATGATTTTAAAATTAAAATTATCTACTTTTGTTCATTGTTATTTTGAACCTTAAAGTTTGAATTATTTTTTAT